TTGGCGTTGTTCCGGCAACAAGTCAATACGAAATTCTACTTGTCGATCGGGCGGTAATCCAGGAAGATCTTCGGAAATACTTCCGGATAATCACACACAACAGGAATATTTCTGCATCACCTTCTTTTCCTTCTTAGCATCGTATCACGAATGCTAAATATGATGGACATCCCTTGGTCAAACACTTTTCTGGCTTTCATTAGGGAAATGATTCCAGAATTTACTCTGCGTTTATCTCCATACACCATAAACGATTCCTTTCCAGGCGAATTCACTTTCACTATTTTCTCTGCATAAAATTTCGGCATCATTGGCACTAAGCCAATCCATTCCCAAAACGATGTCGAAACCATTAAGTTCTATAGGTAATAATTCCTCGTGGAACTTATTCCCATTCAAATCAATTAAAATGTTTTTCATACGATGGCTAACAGGTACAATCTTGCCACTAGCAACTTCGACTAATAAAGCATTATCTAGTCTCACAATAGGCAAAGCTAGTTTTCTACCAAATTCATGCGATATAAAGGAGTAGTTGGCTCCATAATCAAATAAAATTTGGGCAGACAATTTGTTAACGAGAAAGGTACCTGAAGCGACATCAGCTTCATCTTTAGCAGCTTCCAGTGTCATCTGGAATGCTCTCGCCTTTGGCTTTGGCGGAATGTTGGGTCTTGCTGCCTCCTTCTTCTTCGGACAATCCCTTGAGATGTGCCCTCCTCACCGCAACCATAACAAACATTCTTGGTGAAGGTGCATTCGTTGGCATAATGCCCTGGCTTTCCACATTTGTAGCATGTGGTTTCCCCGCCACACTTCCCATGATGCTTCTTCTTGCACTTGTCGCACCATTTCGCCTCTACCTTTCCTCCACTTCCTCTCGAACTAGACTTCGAGAATTTACTTTTCTTGCTGGACCCTGAAAATCCATCAATTTTCCTTTTCTCACCAACCTCTGACCTTTCTAGACCTTTTTCCCTGATCTGGGTCTCAACATTTCTAGCAGCCCAGATGGCGGCTTTCAATGTGGTTGCTTGCTTAACCATTGGACCATAGTCCGCTGGTAGTCCCAAGGGCAAACTTGTTGACCTTAGAGAGTTCTGTAGGCACCAAATATGGGATATAACTTCATCTTTTTCCGTGAAACTTGTAGCGGCCTTCTGCCTGTTGCTGCATTTGCAACTTTCAAACATAGTCTCCATTTCAGAGACCCAGTCCATAACTTGTACCGGCGTCGGGCTTCCGGATTGGCATGGTGGTTTGGATGCCATGAAATCCTTATACTTGCACCACGACCATCATTTCCTCCATACTGGTTATTGCGTCTAACCACTGGTTGTTCGTCTTGACCAATGATCCCACTAAAGTTTTCTCCTTCAGACTGCCCTCCATTCTCCTCGGGCTCTTCCGCTTGAATTGACGGTTCTTCACGATTCTGCTAAGCAAGGCGTCTTGTTTCTTCCATCTGACGATCCAACATCATTTGAATCATCATTTGTACACCAGCCATTGTTATCGACTCAGGTGCAGCAGCTACGATAGGTACTTGCTCGATTACAGGTGGTTGATTCCTGTTTTCATTAGCATTTCCAACTCCGCTTCTTGTTCTCACCATTTTGATCTATACACCGAATAATTTCACCTTATTACTCCAAACGATTACATGCTAGTTCTAATATCGTACATATACGCTTAGAATCCTAAACACATAAACCTTCAGATCCGGTTGGCAATAAACCGTAGATCCGAACAAATAATATCATATATGGCAACATATAACATTTAGCACATAAAAGCATTTTAGGCAACTTTCCTAAAAATAACTAGTGCTTGTGTCTAAAATTTATCAGACACACATCTCACAATCTCCACTTAGCATCCTAAGTTTAAGTTTAGAAATCCTACAAATTCCTAGTTCGCTTAAACTAATGCTCTGATACCAACTGTGACATCCCCAAAATCTCGGCCAGAAAAGACCGATTTCATTTATGCTTTTTAAAATAATTTTCAGAGTAAATCCTTTTAATTTTAAAAGAGATGCGGAATTTGTTCCCAAAAACAAAACATGATAAAATAGATATTTATCAAAACATTTCATAAAGAAATATGATTTCATTTCATAATCAAAAGTCGGGATGTCATGTTCCGATACAGATCATAAAGCATAAACGATAGCATTACAAGTCATTCAACAAATATATACATATACAGACTTGTAAACAAAACAACTTGATGTTCGCCCATCTTAAGCTCTTGCGCCACTTCCTGTAAAATAAATCAACTGAGTGGGTCAGGCTTGGGAGCCTGGTGAGCATATAGGGTTTTCAACCCACAATAATTATATTTAATTTCAACAATCAACAATAAACCCGATTACCCATTCCCGTTATCCTCACCTTACGTTCCTAAAAATAACGTCTATTATAAGGAACCTATTTCAGGATTTTTCATCGGGACGGACATCACTGCAGAGGGGCTTCCTCAACAATAAGTGTCCTAAAGGCAACCATGTGGGGGATAGAGTACACCGGTGAACACGTCGTTCACAACACCTACAGGTAATGAGCCTGCTAGTGTTCCACAGGACAGTCTAGAATAGTCCGTGGTCGTCATCCATACTCTGCTGAATGACTAGAATAACACCAATAACACCGAGGCCTCTCATCTGTTTATTACACACCAATTATCTACCCATGTTCTACCCAACATATTAGTAGATAAAAATATACATTTTTATACATAGTTTAAAAACCTGTATAACATGCTTTAATCAATACATATTCCACATAACAGATGAGGCATACACACATAACACGTATTTCATAGAGAATACATCAGATCTATAAGATAGAAGAGAGTGAATATACACTCACACGTATAACAACCAAATATATACACATAACACGTATTTTATAGAAAATACTTCATAATATTGCGTTGGAATGAAAATAACTACACACTCACTTGATCAGAAGATGATCGGGCAGCACTACGGCTTGCAGAAGAGGTGTTTCTCCGTAGATCTGGAAGATCTTCACAAAACCGGGCTCCTCGCGGGCAGCGTTTCGGCTCGGGAATAACGCTCTTCGGGATCCTCGGGGCTTCGGATCTTACTTCGGGGCTCGGGAATATTACCGGGGCTTTGGGGTATGATTGGCACGCAAATCGAGGCAAAACTTAGAGAGAGGGAAGAGTTTGAACAAGAGAAAATGGCTGAATTCGAGTTCTATTTATAGGCTGCTGGGTCTGGGATTACGCGGGGCGTACTCAAATTACGCGGGGCGTACTACGCGGGGCGTACTCGGGTTACGCGGGCGTACTTTGACGTCACTGCGTGCGTCGACTGGTGGCACTCGAGTATTGGTCAGACAAGTTGCATCCGACTGAGTACGCGGGGCGTACTCAAATTACGCGGGGCGTACTCAAATTACGCGGGGCGTAATTGACTTGTCAAACTTCTAAATTGCGTAACTTTCGCATACGAGCTCCGTTTTCGACGTTCTTTATATCCACGCGAAGGTCAGACCATACTCTACAACTTTCATTTAGACTCCGTCGGCTAATTTTGACTTTTATTTTTATTATTTATTTTTAGAAGGCCGGGACAGAAAAACTTCGTTATAAATTCATAACTTCTTCGTCTGACGTCCGTTCTCGCCTAACTTTTCATCGTTTCGCTACTAACAACAAGATCTTCGATTCTCATTTAGATTGTTTCGGCTAAAAACCGCTCGATCTCAAATCGAGTATTCGGGCTGCATACTGCTAGTCGAAACTTAGAAAATCATAACTTCCTCATACGAAGTCAGATTTGGGCGTTCCTTTTATGCACGCTCTCGGTTTAACGAAATCTACGACTTTCGTTTAGATCGCTAAGGCTAAATATCGCTCTATCTTAAATTCATATTTTACGTCACTCGGTCGTGTCGGTTCTGTCGCGAAACTTCGACAGGTCATAACTTCTTCGTTATAACTCGGATTTTGGCATTCCTTATATCTCCGGAATCCTTGTTTCGACCACTACAACTTTATGCAAAGATGTCGGGCTTATCTCACACTTAAATTTTGACGCTTATTTTATTCTTAATTCATTAAATTATAAAAATTAAGAAAATACACACATAAATCACATAATTCAAATAATTCACAAATAATACATTCTTATTTCAAGTTGAGTTACAAGGTTAACCTAGACTATTACATTGCTAAAAATGGCAAGCCTAGAAACACGGGCGTTACACAAGATGCATTTGTACTATTATGCAAACTTGACCAAACTCGCAACAAAATGAAAAGTTTGGACCTCTGGTGCTAGTCCAAACTTTGTTGAACCACATGGACCAAGTGCAGTTTTGTCTCTATTTTATAGTTGGTTGAAAGCCTATGAAACCCACCAAATCAATGGAAAAATTCAATAGAAGACATTGTTAATTAGCAATATTTTTAAAAAAAGTTGTTCAAAGGCTCTAAAAATACTTTTTTTCACTTTCCATGTGTTTTTTTTTTTTTTTTTTTAAAAAGACTTCTAAAAAACTTCATTCTGGATGTGATTAAACCAATGGAAAATTAATGTTACATATATGTTTAATTATTTAATTATATCTAAACAAATTAGATTTTTTTTCGAAAAAGTACATGTAACTATTGCCTTATTTTCATATTAATCTGTTTGTTTTGATGTTATCTACAAAGGGTCTTTAAGCAAAAAAAAACTATCCATTTTTTATTTTTTTTTATCGGTTTCTGCCTTTGCCATATGTCTCGACAATTTTTGTCCAAAATAACATGATACATAGAATGATAAGTCCTCTTTCTTCCCTATTCAACATTTTGTCTATCAACATTGAACCAATTGAATATTTTATCATTCGTATTACATTGTGTATCAATCGGCCACTATTGGTGTGTATCAATCAATCATCCACTGTTAAGAACAGACATTTTTTGAAACCAACTCAATAGACACCTAATTATAAAAAAAAAAAAAAAAAAAGCAATGCGTTTAAGTTAACAACAGCAATATTAAGTCAACAGCACACAAAGTCCATCTACTTTCACGATATACAATGATACAATTCACTGGAAACAATTATTAATTATGAGATGATCCAGATTAGACGATTCATGAATAAAGTCTTGTAAATGATACAAATGAAGTTTTCATGTTATTTTCTTGAAACCAACAACCATTTGTCCATCTTGCTAATTTTGCTCATCCCTGCTTCTAGCGTCTCCTTCACTCTCTCAAGTGCACTTTCTAAATTATGCAGCTGTGCCATAAATTACATATATATATATATTTTAAGTCTTGTAAATTAATCCATTTTTTAATCCCATAAAATTCATTAATTTTACACTCACCTGCTGTTTGGCAAACCTATTGTGTATGAACAGCCCACTATACAGATCAAAACTATCCCTCGTACTGCTTTCTTTCTGCAACTCAAATCAAATCTCCTGTTAATTTTTATTCTGTACATTCTCGATTTTATATAACAAGGTTGAACATATATTGTATACATACCACTTGAACCAGCTTCTCAAATCCCTTTGTGTCTATCGGTGTGTTCCGAATTTCCATTTCCGATAAAACCCTGCAAGTTAAAACAGCAAGATATCATCGTCATCATTAGAAATTAGTGAAAAGTATGTTATAAATGCTCTAATACGTGTGTGTGTATCTAACCTACCTGCCTATCGTGTGTGTAAGAAATTGACTTTGGGCAGCTAGTCTATCATGTTCTTCACAACTCATTTCCAGCATTTTGCATCCCTGAATTTGAATATGTTATTGTAAAAAATGTTAAAAGGGCAAATATTGATTGGATTTGTTAGCATTTATGATTTATGGTTTACCTCATTCTCGAAAATGGCAAGAAAAGAGGAGCACAGAGTTTCATCCTTGACTCGGACTCTTTCATACATAAACGGCAAATCTTTCCACCCGTCTTTCCCACTTTCTGGTCCGAACATAGGATGAGTGCACACCAAATCCGAGTCTTGAGGAACTTCCTTAATTTACCCAAATTATTACAATTAATCATACAATTAAGTAATAATTAATACGAATTACTTTTAATTAATGAAATGTAAGACCTGTAACAGGAGTTTTCTTGGGTGTTCTTTGACGGAGAGTACGTCGGCGAATAGAAGTGGTTTTTTAAGGCGATGAAAACGGGATAGACTTCACTACTTGGAATACAGATACAATTGAAGTGCATATCAGAATCACATCATGCTCTAATCCCATGAATTCTTCCATGTCCCTTCAAACCCAAATCAAATGATAATATCAAGATATAAGAAGGTTGTACATTTATGATGAATTATACATATACATACCTAATGAAATGGACGCCCGGAAACCCAGAATAGTCTGATCTTGATGTCGCGCTTATAAGATGACCTTGTTTTATCATCGTCTTTGCCAAGAACTGTGCGAAGGTACCAAACCCTATAATTCCTATCTTCAATGTTCTTGTCGAACTACCCATCAGTTGAAGCCTGAGGGAGGGACTACAGAGTACAGACTAGAGAGGGTGGTAATAAGAGATGATATTAAGATTTGTAGCTACTTATAAATATATATATATATATATATATATATATATATATATATATATATGACTGTAGGTGGCAAACTATCTATTTATATCAACGGTGTAGATTAAAGTGGAAGATCGATTTTTGAGCGTTGGATGGGATTTGTAAAGCTGATAGAAATATTGACTTTGACAATCACCAGTGAGTGACGTGGCAGGGCTTGTCGCCTTATCTGGCCGTGTTGGAAACTAACTACATTTTAACACGGCTCTCACTAATATTATTACATGATTTGCACGTCTTTGCCATTAGGGGACTAGAATTACAAGTTTCAGCCCATAAATATTAAATAGTAAATAGTATATAGAGACATGTTGTAATTTAATTTTGATGAATTTCTCTACAAATGGGCTTTTATATTCGTTATGTCGTGATGTTTTATCATTTAAAAACTTGAAACAATATTTTTTTTTTCAACAAAGACGGATCAAACGGGTTGACAAAATATATTAATGGATTAGATTATTATTGTAATAATATGATGGTCTTTTTATAAGCATAATTAACACACACTCGCACTATATTATAAATTATAAATATAAATATATAGACCAAAAGACTTTTCAGTTTTCAGTCACTATATATAAAATTACTCGTTTATACTCGAAATTATTTTTACTTATTTCTTGTTTCACTCGTTTTGTCACCTCCATGACGTATAGAGTTTTTCTATCGAGTTACTTTAACACCTCTTTAAATTCAATAAGGTGGTTTCCTTTTAATTTTTAAACATAGTGATAAACTGATAGTACACACTGTTCTATCAAGTCCAATGGATTTCCTTTTAAATCGTTATGAAGTTATTTGGATACAAAGGGAAATTATGTAAATAGTCAGCTGCTAGTTAGTTTGTTAATACTGAACCACCTCAGTTAGTTTAAAATGTTAGTCACCTATTATGGATAGTCTCTGATGTGGAAGAGTATTTTCGTTAACTTGATTAAAAGTTGTTCTATTTTATGATAACCGGTTAACGTCAAATCTGATTAATTAGACAACACATAAAGTGATCGAATTGATGTTACATTGTGCTCTTTGAAAAATAAAACTACTTGAATCAACGAGTTTATCACCTACCACCTACAAACGAGTAAAAATTCTAGTAACCAATTTATAAACAGTTAGTCGATCAAAATTTTTTCCTTTACAAAGCCAAGGATTATATATACCTAAACAAGTTAAAAAAAAAAAAAAAAAAAAAAAAAAAGAGCATTTTCAGCCTCTAATCTACCTTTCACCTTGTGTTGTATCCAATATACCCAAATTCATATTTTAACATTATAATCATTAAAAGGAAAACAGAAAGCCATTCCTTACAGAATATGCCCTCATCAATCTCACTGACTTTTGGTCTCATCAATACCAGATTCCTCTGTAGTGTTGCAACCTAATGCTGCAGGATTCACACATTCTACTGTTTGGTTCAATTCCGCAGGATTTGCAGATTCCGTTGTTTGGCTTTGGCTTAATAACGATGTTTCACTCTTCTTTTGAGCCTGTAGTCCCTGTAAACCTCGCAAGATCTATCCATTGCTGCAAAAAAAGATTTAAAACCTTTGTAAAAAAAAAAATTAATCCACAATCGAATAATTAAAAAAATAATAATATATATTTTATTGTAACCTGAGTTCCCAGTAGGAATTAATCGTCCGTGTCACAAAAGATAACAAATTTACAAATAAAGTTTGGTCAGCAAACATATCCGAGATTCGATGCTCCAC